TTGAAAAAAAAGCCAAAGTTTATATACAAACTGACACACACACACACACACAAGTACAAACTCACACGTATGTAAATACATACGGCTGATGAAATAAATAAATGTATAACAATAGGCAAAAGAAAGAAGGTTAAAAATCGTTAAGAGGAGGAGGCAACAAACAGTTGTGAGTGCACATAACTTTTTTACTTCTGACTTTTTTCCTCTTACCATTATTATTATATTGTTATTATTATTACTTTATGTGGCAGTCAGTGTAAACATGCTGCGCGTGTGTGTGTGTGTGTGTTTGTATGTATGTATGTATGTGTGTGCATAGACTTTGCTCCTCCGAACACCTCGTATATCCCTAACACCCGCCACAGTGTTGCGGCTTCTCCTTTCTCTTCAGCCTATCGCACAAAAAGCCAATACCGATCCGACCGGTCTCGATCGAGCCGACAAACAAAGCGGCCGAAATGATTTTTATATTTACTACCAACATACTACGCTGTAGACTGTCACAGTGGGTTGAGTGGTGGCAAAATTGTAGTAAAAATTTTGGAAAATAAGAAATTTATTATTTAGAAATGTCATTGACACTTCTATTGCTCATATTGAGCGTTAATGGCTGAATAAGATCTTGAAATTGTTCGTGTTATGCGAAAATTCATTTTTCTGTTGTGGATAAGAAGCTCAAGAAGTTTTCGCCGTAGTGTAGTGCAGTTTCAGTACCGAGAGTTTCCACCATATTCTTTTCAAATTTCCACTTTTAAGAAAAATAAGTGCTCGTACTTCAAAGCATTAGCTTTTTTATACTCGACTAAAGTAATCCTGATAGATATGGGCATTCAAGTATATAAATCCGGAATCATAGCATGACTAACTAAGCTATGACTGCCTATAAGTCCGTTGGTCACTATATGTTCTCTCATTCATTGAGATATTTTAACGAAAACTCCACGTCACACTGATAGGACGCGTTATTCAACCCTGAAGACAGACAAACAGACAAGACAACTAACATTGTTTTCAATTATTCGGACCTCAAGCCGGCAAATTAAAAGAAAGGTCGCTAAAACTATTAATATTAATGAAATATGTCTCACAAGCCCGAGTGGTTAGCATTGCGTACCAATATTCGGAAAGCCAGGGCGCTCAAGTAAAGGTTCGAACAGCATCCAAAATTATAGAAAATAGAATATAATACCCCCTGCGGGTTAGGGGCTCAAGAATTTACCCGCGGTAAGGCATGCCTGTCGTAAGAGGCGACTAAAATCCAATAGTTCCCGCGACAGTCGGGTCTTTATACCGGAACGACCCGGATTTTTATCCGGCCAAGGACTGTCACTACCGCAACATTCCCCAAAAAGTACTTTGGGGAATAATTTTGTGGTTACAACAACAACAACAACATAGAAAATAAAGTTTCCTAATTGACGTCGCTAATCGCAGAGAATGTCAAGCCCTCAGATCTATATCTGACATGAAGTAAAAGCTCTTCATAAAAAAATATCAGCTGTTTGGAGGCAGTTTAGTATAAACTGTTGAGAAATTGAGGGAGGAGCGCCAATTACAAGAATATAATCAACAGATCTCAACCAAACTTGGTAGGAATACGATCTTTCTTCCAGATTTTCTAGTTTTGACCGATCTGCCGATTATTAAGGATTTTATAAGAACTCAGCTCCTATGAACTTCCTAAAAATACCAGCATGGATCCACAAACAAGCCTATATTCCAAATAACCGGACTTCAGATTTGCTGTGAAAATTAGGTAAGCCACATGGCATATTATATAAGTATCAGCCAAGGAGATACAGTGATTTCCAATAAGTGGTATTATTTTGATATTCAAAGGAAAATGACATTTTTTGATAAAAATAATCGAATATTTATTGTAATTTAATAAAGAAGATAAGCCATTAATAACGGAGAACAATATCAGCCAAGGCTACGCTTACAGAACTGCATTCTTTTTATCATCACCAAATCACAAAGTGGCTTCAATAGCTTCACGAATTCCATCTTTGAGGTCTTGAATCAACATTGGCCTGTTGGCGTAGACCTTGCTTTCACGTGACCCCTAAAGAAGAAGTCGCAAGGTGTTAAAACCTAAGATCTCGGTGACCAATTGCGATCAACTTTTTGTGAGTTAACACCCCTTTTTCCCTTAAAAGATCGATGGTTTCGCTGCTTGTGAGACACATAGCGTCGTCTTGTTGAAAGTAAACGTTGTCAAGATCAGTACCTTCTAATTTCGTCTATAAAAATTCATTTATCATATCTCGACAGCACAATCCATTCCCCAAAACCGCTGCTCCAGCCTCATTTTCAAAAAAGTAAGGTCCAATGACTCCGGCTTGCCATGAGCCGTCCAAAACAGTTACTCGTTGAGAATGAAGCGGCTTTTCAACAATAAATCTTTGATTTTCAGAGCCCTAGATGCAATAATTTTGCTTACTGACGGAGCCATCGAGTTGGATATGGGTCTCATCGGTCTAACTGATTTTTCGATCAAATTTTTATAGTGAATTTTAATAATCTAATAAATAGTACTTAAAGAATCTTTCGAAGATCACTAAGAGCACTGTTATATGTTCTTAAGGAGTTCTAAAGAAAAATTTCCATTTTTCATAAATCATTCTTCTTCAGTATTAGCTGCCTCAACGCCTAATGTATAGTTTTACAACAGACTTACAACTTACTTGATCTTCGAGAGATCTTACCTTCAATACCTCTTTCCCGCCAATTTTATTTTATAATAAATTCTGTTATATAGTAAAAACGAATATTACACCACACCCCACACGATCTTCTTGTCGTCTCAACTTACAACGAAATGGTCAATTAGAAGGTGACAACAACACGATCATTTCAATGTGATTATATATGTTATCCAATGACTTTGGTCTATGTACCACATAAATGATAGTCGTATTATCAATAATTAATTAGGCCATTACACTGTGCGCGACGGTGCTGGATGCACACAACTCACACACATAACACAACACACCGGCGTTCGGTCTGCAGTTCACGGCAAAATTAACAACAACTTTTAAGTACCAGACGATAGCACCAACAACGAAAACAACAATTATTCGTACACTCACAAACATCCGCACATATATAGATATACATATATCTATGTATGCACATATGTATATATGGCGACATGGCATCAAGTTAAGTTTGCGGTGGGAGCTGAAGGAGGCGAGATGGTATGGTTTGTGACTGTGACGCACGCTGGAGTAAACGTACCTGAGAAAAAGGTGTGAGCAAATAAAGCGTATACGTATTGAGTGTGAGGTGGGAAAGGTGCGAAGCGGAGCGAAGTCGAGTTGGTGGAGGAGTAAGTAGTGGTCGTGCTGAGTTGGATCGTTTCTCATGCAAACTACAAACAGACATAGATTGGCATTAACTTTTTAACGTTCGTATGCTTATTCATTTGTATAAAGTGGTTGTACCATGTAGGAAAAGCTGGTGGGTTTACGAAGTCGTAATAATTTTTTGGTATTTCCGGCACTGTTATATTATTGGTTTCTTTATCATTAATTTGTTGAATCGTTATGATTGAGCGGATGATGACTTAAAGACTGATCACCTTTTTTCCAACGCAGTTTGAGAATATTGATGAAGTAACGTTGTTAGGAAAAATATAAACCGTTGTATGGTTGGTTGGTTGGTTGGTTGAAGTGGCTGGTGGGCATCGGCACACATAGGCCCCGAACGGGCCCATTGTGATACCCCTGAGGATCCCAGAAGACCTCACCCGCAAATCGAATCAGTGCGTGGAGTTTGCGAAACTGAGCAGTTGTCGCATTTTAGTCCCCGCTATATCGTTCAGGTCTCTAAAGTGCGGGGCATTTGCAAAGAAAGTGACTAAGGTCTGCGTTGCTTCTTCCTGCCTGCAACTTCTGCGGAAATCATTAAACGGCACGCCCCATCCCTCAGCGTGCTTGCCTAATAAGATATGTCCTGTAAGAGGGACTATAGCTGAAGACATATCATTCCTTTTCTGCTCGAGAAGGTCACATGACTTTCTAAACCGATATATAGCCGCCGCTGGTCAAGTGGATGGTAGTGCATGCTACTTGTCGGATGGTTATTTCAATGCAAAGAGGGAGATATGCCAATAATAATGGAAAATAGCTTAACGTATTCCACCTTTGAGACCGTATCTTTCACGTGGACCCCAAAGTTGGATGGTTGCATTGCTTGTGTGGCACGTAGCGCCATTAAAAAATTAATCATCCGGACGCGGGAGCCGAGTGGTTAGCATTGCGTAATGCCATTCGGAAGGCTGGGGTTCAAGTCCTGTTGTCGTACTAACAACCCAAAAGTCAGAGGAAATTAATTTAAATCAAAAATCAAGTTGAATTTTATAATTGCGTTCGCCCCTCGGCAGGAAATATCCACTCCACCGAGTGTATTTCTGAAATGAAATAAAAGCTCCTCATAAGAAAACATCAGCCGTTCGGAGGCGACTTAGTATAAACTGTAGGTCCTTCCATTTGCTGGAAACCGAAAGAAAAGAATCTATTTTGTCTCTTCTCTTTCGACGAACAAGAACCAAATACAGAAGTAAGGATGTCGACAGCTTGAAGCTGCTACGGGACAGCTGCCAAGAACCGATTGCCTTAGCTTGCTGCAATGTATATAAAGATCAAATGGGTTAAGTTGTATTTCAGACTGCTTCATTTGTCCTTACATATATGATATTGGTGCTAGTAATATTCCTTTCCCTCCAATTTTTTTCCTACAGGGCTGCTAAGACATTAAGAAGGCCCCGGAAAAGGAAAACAGTCATAACACAACACGGCACCGTACTTCTTACAAATATACATACCAACTTTATGTACAATATATCTCTGTGCTTGTATGTATGTTGTGATGATTGCCCACATTGATACATACATACATATGTATGTACATACTAGTATACTTTTGTGTATATTTGCGCTAACTGGTATCGGCATATTCGACTTGATTTTTTGAACTTCGCGGGGAGAAGCAACTGACTTTGACAAAACTTCACACAGCAGCAGCGCACAACGGTGTGGAGCACAGAAGCGCAGCGTACAGTGCACTCGCAACCATCCATCCGTACAGTTGGATGTCACCGGCAAACGGCAACGGCTGCGGCAACAAAATACAATCATTAGCAAGACGTTAACTCGCAAAGTTAAATACAATAATATAGCAAGTAAAAGAAAAAGAAAAAAAAAAGAAGAAGACGAACCTTAAGAAATAGAACTTGCGGTAGCAAAAGAAACAACAGAAACAGAAGCTGAAGCTGAAGCAACAGAAGTCATCAGAAATACGACGTGTGATCTTGATCTTGATCTTCTTCTTTGAATCATCGAATTCAGCACAGTACGTGTATATATAAAGTTAAACAACAACAACAACTACTACTACAACAACAACAATAATAATAATAATAATAATACAATTCATAAGAGCAACCGACAACGGTGTTATTGCTTTTGCTGTTACGCTTACTAGGTTGGTGGTGATGTTATTATTGCTGATGATGGTGATGATGCTTTGATTGTGGCAACAAAGAATTGACTTGGGATCGAGCTACAAACTCTCAGCCTACATTTGCTTTGTTATCGGACAAATGAAAAATTGTTAGTAATTTTTTTTTTCATTGAATTTAATGGAAGTTTAGTTGAGTGCTATTATTTTTGTGCTGGTGTGAACTTTTCTTATCTTTAACATTCATGTAAATGTTACAACGATAAATGAACTACTATCATACGTATACATACATACATACACACATTCATAGAGCAAAGTGAAAATGCACAAGTAAATATAAATATAAACAAACTTAAATATAATAAAGCTTTTAAATAAATGATAAAGCAAAACTGCCGTGAAATTAGCCAACAACGAACCATTTTTTTTTTAATTAAAAGAAATAATAAATATAATTAACAGTGACTTATAAACATAATAAAATTAAAAACAATTGAGTCATAAAAAATAGATTAAGAAAGCGAAACAACTTTTTCTAGTACTTAAACAACTTTTATACAAACAAACAAACTACATACATACATAAGTTCACACAACCATAGCAAGACAATGACGGCGCATGAACAACCGATTAGCTACTTGGACAGCATCCTGAACGAGGAGGAGTCACGCTGTGAATACAGTCATCAGTGGCGCAATTTCACAATCTCACGTTCGGGCCGTTTCAAGTCGAAAAATCGTAAGCGCGACGTTGTCGATGGTAAACTCTTCGATGCGGTTAATATGCCCAATGGGATGTCGGCAACGTCCAAGACATCGTCTGCTGCCGCCGCTGCTGCCGTTACGGGTCATAGTCGTGTCATGGCATCAGCCACCATGAATCCACATTTCAAGCAGGAGCCGGATAAGGTAGGACCATGGAAAAAAGATACACTTATGCATTTTTACTGTCATTTAATATACAAATTTATTTATTTTTGTATGTACATTTGTACATAAAAAGTTTCCACAATTTCCAAAAAAAATATAACTTTGATATCTCTCGATAAATATATGAAGTTCGAAGTGATATAGTATTTTCCAATTGTTTATTGTTTGAACGTTTGCGCGTATTTAAATTAGAGTAGTCCAAAAAATGTATACTCAAAAAAGCCGTTCAGACATTTCCATTTGTTGAAAAAACAACAAGACGCTCCCAAGAACCGGAGTTAAACAAAATAATAAAAAATAAAATAATAATAACGAAAAAATAATGAGAAAAAAATTTAAACAAAATAAAATAAGAATTAATAAAAGAAGTGAAATTAAATTAATTAAAATAAAATTACATAAAATAAAACAATATAAATTAAAATTGAAATAAAATAAAATATAGAAAAGCGAAATTTTTAATATTTTTAGTTTTATTTTTGTTTATAAAATTACATAAACAAAAATAAAATTTAAAAAATTAAATTAAATTAAATAAAAAATCAAATAAAATGAAATGAAAAAGGTTAAATAAAATAAAGGAAAATAATATTAAAAAACTTTTATTAAATCAAAGAAATCAAAATAATGAAAAAATTAAAAAGAAATTCGAAGTTAAATAGAACAAACAAAAAATAATAGAAAATATAATTAGACAAACTAAAATATAATAAAATAAAAAATTGAGTAGATAAAAATCAATTAATAAACTAAAACAATATGAAATAAAAGAAATAAAAAAAAAATAAAAAAAAAACTCAAATGAAACAAAAGCGAAAAAAATAAAGAAAAATAAACAAAATGATATAAAATAAACAGAATGAAAAAATAGAATAAACGTAAATAAAATAATGTAAAAACAAAATGAAATAAAATGAAAAAAAAAAATTAGAAAAAAATTAAATTAAAAAAAAAAACAAATAAAATAAAATTTCATTAAAGGCAAAAAATAAAAATTTAAATAAAATTAAGCGAAAAAAATTAAAAATAAAGGAAAAAATTAAAATAAAGGAAAATAAACTAAACAAATTTAAGTAAATTAAAGAAAATTATATAATAAAAAACAAAAAATAAAAAACAAAGAAAATAAAACAAAGAAAAAAAATTAAATGAGCTAAGAAATTAAATAAGTACAAGTCAAATAATAATACAAAATAAAACAAAATGAAATAAAATAACCGTAAATAAAATAAAATAAAAAAATCAAATATACGAAAATAACATAAATGCAAAATGAATTAAAATAAAAGAAAAAAAAAAAAAACAAAATGAAATAAAATTGAACAGAATGAAAAAAGTAAAAAATAAAGAAAAATAAAATTTAAAATATTTAATTTAGTAACATAAACAAAAAAAATAAATATAATAAAGAAACAAAAAATAAATAAAATATAAGAGAAATAAATAAAAAAAGGAAAACGAATCACAACAAAAAATAAATGAAAAGGCAATTGAATTTTAATAAAATGAAAGAAAATAAAATAAAATAAACAAAAATTTAATTAAATAAAGAACAAAAAAAAGCAAAAATAAATTTAAAAGAATATGATGAAATAAAAGTACATAAAAAAGCGAAAAAAATAAGTTAAATTATATTAAAAAAAAATGAAATAAAATAATTTTAAATGAAAAAAATAAATTAATTAACTTATTAAAAACTAAATAAAATAAAAGAAAACGTACTAATAAAATAAATTAATTAAAATGAATTAAAAGAATGTATAATAAAAAAGGAAATAAAATATAATAAAACAAAATAAAATAAAGTAAAAGAAAATAAAAAAATGAAGTAAACTAAAATAATTGAAAATAAATTAAATACAACAAAATAAATTAAAATGAAATAGAAAAAAAACAAATAAGGAAAAATAAATTAAATAAAGGAATTAACGGGAAAAAGATGAAATGTAATAAAAGATAAATTCAAATGAAACAAACTAAATTAAACAAAGTAACTTTGAAAAATGTAATAAAATACAATAAAAAAGTGAATGAAATTAAAATGAAATAAATTTAAATTAAATTAAATAGAGGATAGTCAAATAAAACTTAAAATATGATATTTTTTTGTAATTGTATTATCTGAAACCCAAAGTAAAATAAATAATTTATGCAAAAGTTCTTAATTGAATATAAGCAAAAAAAGTAGTAAATTTAAAATTAAGATTGCAAAAAAAATTTAATAAACAGTGGTTGAATTGTTTCAACTTTGAAATATCCTGATTGTGAACTTTTCATTTTCTACGCTTAATTTTAAAAGTTTACCTTAAAACTTAATTTCTTTTACCAATGGGTGACAACGCTCAACAAGAAAAAAAGAGTGGAAGAAAATTACGAAAAGTAGATATGTATTATTTTGTATTTTTGGAGCATCTTAATATAAAAATATGTAAGAGTATGTATAACCTAATAGGTACTAGTACTACTCTATTTTATGAGTAATTGTGAAATTGGATATACACACATATGTATGTACATTTCTCTAAGTTATATACAATAATATATTATATACATATATATATATATACATAGCTATGTAGGCAAATCCACTCAAATCCACGACATTTTTTGTTTACTTTTTGCTACACTCGTTCCTTTTCCATAGCTGTTGTAGTAGGTGTTTGTTGTTTTTGTTTGAGCCCATGCAACAACATTTACATTTAAGTTGCTGCAACAATTGTGGCCACATCCGCTGCAAAGTCGACAAAGTGTGTCGCAAGTCAGCTGTTGAGTTGCTTGGGTTTTCTGGTTGGCTGACTAACTGCTTAACCACATTTGTCTATACGTGTATATATATATATATATATATATATATGCATATTTAAATATGTATGTATGTATGTATTTAGGTGCATAAACAGATTTACGAACATGTATTGTAATATAAAAAAATAAATCTTACTACTTGATAGTTTGGTTAGGTTTTTTGACTTATTTATAATTTTTAATGCATGCTATTGTTGTTTTCATTAACACGGTTCAAGTTGTTTTTGTTGTTCTTTTTTCTTTTTTCATTTATCATTTTTGTTTTCAGAGCGTGCAGACGTAGGTAAAATCGTTCACTTATTATATATATATAAATAAATAAATTTTCGTACATGTTAGTATATATGTATATGTATGCATATGTGTGTGTCCGTATATCACTGTACTTAATACTTTTATTTGTTGTGCAAAATTTCGCTCATTTCCTAAAAATAAGCCACCGATTACTTTATTGCTTTTGGCAAATGCATATAATTATATATATATATTTACATTTATATATGTATACATTTACTCATATGAAAATGCATATGTATGCGTACTTGCACATTCTACATGATTTGGTATATATGTATGTAGTAGTATGTTATCAGTTAACTACTAGCGAAATGCAAATATTGCTCTTCCATAAATTATATTAAGTGCTCGCAGGCTATAATGACCTAAGTCTGTTTTCAAACTTTCTCAAGAGATCAGTTTAAAAATTAAAAATCTACAATTATCGTTATAAACACGAAAGGAAGACTAAAATTGTATGCAACCGAATTTTAGTTACTCGGCTGATATTTAAATTAAACTCACTATAATCATCATAACCAATAAGAAGATCAGGCTTTCACCATAAACTATTGAAATAATCTGTTTTATCAGAGGTAGTCTGTTTCAGCCATTTTTGGTAGCTTTTTGTCGTCCCTTTAAAGTAGCAGTTGCACCTACTAAGTTTGGTTAAGCTCTATTAATTAGCGGAGAGTCGAAAAAAGTCTGTTATATAAGACAAAGGCGTAGTTGTTGTCCGATTGTGTTCATAATTAATTCGCATTCTTATTACGCAATGAGTACAATAAGCATAAAATTGTATAAAATCACTTTGCATTACGTTGAAAGTGATAATAAAATATAGATAGTACAAATTTTAATGCGAAATGGTAGAAACCCATTAGTTTTTTGGTGCAAGAACAAACAACAAAAAAAAAAAACGGTTTGCTAACAAGCGTAGACTGAGTTCATTGGCACATCCCTTTAAATTTTCTTACACGCATTTTGACACCTACAGGTCTATCCCCGCTGTTAACGGTTAAGTAAATTTTGTTACTTTTCTTTGACACCCGAAATTGAATTTGGTATTCTGGCGAACAGGTTACAATGTTTGAAAAAAATTTTGGCAGCACTGCTTTTTTCGTCCATGTCAAATTACATTTGCCAGTTGATATAGTAAAAAGAAAAATATTCACATCGAAATGGAAGACGGTGCACAAAAAAATTAAAAAGTTTTTGTAATTTGTTTATTAAATCATAAATATTTGAACCTAATTATGGAAAATATGCCTGGACAACCAAAAAAGCTGCATGAAAACGTTATCTTACAAATTAAAGGGCTATTTTTTAGTCTCGAAAACTTCTTAAAATACGGCTTTTTGCACATTTTTCTTCAATGAATTCCAGGCCTAAAATATGCCTCGCCATTTTGGTTTTTTTATTTTCCCTCAAACTTACAACGCAAAATCAAACAGCAGATATTTTTGTTACCTCCTATTTCGCTGGTAACAAAATTTACAGGGTAACAGTGAGCTCAGAATACGAAATGGTAACAAAATTTATTAATGGAAAATTTTAATACCGAGGTAAATTTTGTTACCTCGACAGAATAGGCCTGTTAATAGGAGGCATTAGTGAAGTAAAAAATTATTCCTTAAAATTAAGTAAGTTGTTTCAGGAAAGAAAAGTTCAAGCTAACTGCACCATGAATACAAATTTCCCAAATTGAACGGTATCGGGTCCACTATTCGATAAAATTTAACTTAAATAAAATTGTTAAGAACCATTCTCAGCCTGTTAACATGAATGATAACCCAATAATCCATTAAATTTCAACAGGATTTTATCGGTATAAATCGGTTAGTGATTCGGTTTCTGGAATGAAATCAATATAATTTTGGTAAAACCTACTTCTATTA